AAAAAAAAAAAAAAAAGAAAGAAAAAGAAAGAAAACCGGATCGTGGCTCCGCTACGAGTGTGCCGGACTCATTTCGTGTTATAGTGAAGTTGAAGTTGGAGGGGGTTCGCGTCTGGGGAAGAGAGTAGGGTTAGTACGATGCTTTTTGGCAGAGGTGTGGGGAGATAAATGGTATTGAGAGCGGAGGAGAATGGTGGAAGGACAATGTCGCCCTGTGTCTGCCGCTATAACAGATCAGCCAGGCGAATGATTCATGCAATGAAGGAATGAATGAGTGATGATTTATCTGGTCACGTTGGTGCCTAACCCTAACCAGGGTTATGTAATTGACTGCGTCCAGAACGAATGATGAATGATGCTCCTTCGATTAGCTTTTAAAAAAAATCATAAAAAATACAAAAAAATGTTTTATTTGCACCTTCTGCCGACAACATTATCCTCGATCCTCTAAACATGGAGGTTAAGTATGGAACCCCACACTCCCGTCGGATCATCCCGACAGTAAATAAAAGTCCGGATATCCCGACCAAGACATAAAAGCATACACGATCCCCACGGGTTGAATCTACCGCAACCACTCAATAGATCCAGTAAGTAATCACATATAGTTATATAAAACCAATTCAGAAAGCCCAATCTAACATCATGTACCAGACAACTAAGAAAATAAACCCTGATCCATCCAGTACATACATCAAAAGCCTCAATAACCCCAAAACCAAAGCAAAAGCAAAGCAAAGAGGGAAAAGGCCAAAAAAAAAAAAAAATAAAAATAAAAATGACATCCAACCCACTAACAGCTCTCTACAAAGAGAAAAACGGCTCGAAAATAACAACAGATATCTACTTACCCGATGTCCAATCCAACAATAATGTAAAATACCCCATCTGTACGTTTGTCCCTACCTCGCCTCTTTCTTCCCTCCTACTATCCCCGAAAGCACACAAACCCACCTAATAACCATCAATAATGAATGATATTAATGACATGGGAAAGTAATAAACATTCACGGTGGAGCCTTCATGCTCGGCAACTCACGCATGGTCTCTACCCCCCAAATCGAGGACTGTCTATCCCGGGGCTGGATCGTAGTGGTCCCCAACCATCGTCTCTGTCCTGGGGTGAATATCCTCGAGGGCCCGGTAGAGGATTGTCGGGATCTTCTGGCGTGGGTGTATGATGGGGGTCTGGAAGGGTTTCTACATGATCAGGGAGAGGAATCGGTGAGCGTTGATACAGAGAAGGTCATGGCGTTCGGGACGAGTAGTGGAGGGTTTTTGGCGTTGAGTTTGGTACGTGTCCCCTTCCCTTGTTTTCAATAATGTTATACTGGTTTCCTTTGCTAATGAGGAAGCGATAAAGGGCTACGATGTCCCCAGACCACCCAAAGCAATTCTCGATTTCTACGGCGCAGTCCATTTCACACATCCCTTCTGGACCACGCCCCTCCCGCATGTAGCGGAGAAGTTACCCCCAGGTCTGTTCCCGGAGTTCATTGACCGGGTTTATGAGGAGGATCCTGTCCCTACAGATAGTTCTATCTCACTCGAGGGCCAGATGGAGTCTGGACGGGCTAAGGGCCCGGACTTTTCGCGGCCGCGGGATGCGTTTGCGTTTACGCAGATTGCGAATGGGCGGGTGTTGAGTGCTTGTTTCCCTGGGCGGGATGTGAGGGAGATTGATCCTGTGTGCTGCGTTCGGGAAGGGTTTCCTGCTACGTGTGTTGTGCATGGGGTTGAGGATCGGATGGTTCCGATCTATTTAAGTAGGGAGTTGGTGAGGGTTCTTGAAGATAAGGGGGTGGAGTGTGAGATGGTGGAGGTTCCGGGGGAAGATCATACGTTTGCGATGGGGATGGAGGTTGGGTCTAGGACTTGGGAGATGCAGAGAAGGGGGTTTGATTTCCTGGAGAGGATTATCGGACGAGAGTAGTTCTTATTGGATTGTTATAGGGGTAGAGGAAATGAGATGTTGTATTTGTATTGGTGATGTTCTGGCCAGCCAGTTGCATTCACCAGAATATTAGGACTAATGAGTGTCGAGGTCACCAGCCTGGAAAACAAAAACTCCATCCATGCAATCTCGTATACTCAGTATACTCCCAATCCATCTCAATGCTGCATCGCTGAACCCAAATAACGAATCGCTGATCGCTGTCGTAGTTTCGTCGTGTCTCATGACCGGCATCGACAGCCCTAGCTCAGTACTAGGGGCACAAAGAATAAACCGAAATTAAAAAAAGCAGAAGGGAGAAGGGAAAGATCGAGAGAAATGTTTGAAGTAGTAGAATGTAGGGAGGAAAGAGGACGCATGTGTTGAATAAAGGCCCGGGGAATCGAGTCGTCGTCGGTAGAAAAAAAAAATAATAGGTCGCGTATGTTTTTAGGATGACTCCAATTGCAATTGCCCACAAGATTGACACATCACAGACGAGTCAAAGTATAGCGTACGTAGGGAATTGCAATTGACATATCTTATCGACGTCAAAAACCCTTGCTGGAATAGCCAGAATCGGGCCAATTGCAGCCTCTAGGTGTAGATCCGCCCCGTCGTGCGGCATGCTTTTCGCATGCATATCCGACGAGAACAACCTTCTCCTGCACTACATGGCCTCGTTGGCCATACGCTTCACACGGGTCAACCGCGTGTTGAAAATAAAGGCAACCACAGACTGAGAACCGCTCTACCACCTTGAAGCACATGGTAAATGATATCGGGGGTCTGTAAATTATAATAATAAAGAGAGGGTGGGTTGGCGTCCAGCGAGATGCGACAACGAAATCAAGTCGCCTGTCAAAGAGCGACTCGAATACAAAGGAACAAGGAAAAGTCAAGAGAGTGTTGTCGATAGTTTGCTAAACCGGGAAAGGGAGATGCTAAAGTTCGATCATTTATAAAAATTGACCTTCAGGCGACCAGACCATCATAGACCACAATGGGGACACAAAACGGAACAACTGGAGACAGAAGCAAGTCTCATGTCTCCTAACCAAGCCGCTTAGAGAGTCAAACACCGACAGATGCAAGGCATCCGTCAAAATCAACGGTCATTCATTGCCCGAAGAAAACGTGTATCGCGACTAGGGCAAGAGGTGCTAAG